ACTCCTCACTCTTCTTCTCTGTGTGGCCTAGAAGCTCCTTGAGGACAGGGACACATCTTATTTCCTCATGTTGCATAGCCTTGACTAAGAATCAGTCTGTGTTGGTTGAATGAAAATGCGAGAAGGAAAGGGAAATTATTACAATGAAAAACCAAAATGGAATCTCTGAGCAAGGACTCCATCTCCAGCTACTAAAATTGTGTTACTCGAAGAATACATACAATAGAGAAATGTATTTTGATTTTTGCATGATTATTCAAATTCCAAAACATCTCTCTGGTAGAAAAATACCTTTAGTTTTGGTAGGAAAGATCAATCTGAAATTATCCTTCAATTTCTGCTACTTATCCACAAATAACTGCTATAATATTCATTTTTCCTTAAGTATCTTAGTTAATTAAGCATGGAATCATTTGAATCAAATAGCCAAAGGGAATAAAGTAATCTATCAGTTAAATGAGGTTCATCTAAAATTTCAAACCAAAATTCTTCTAAAATTGATGACGTTAAATAATTTGACATTTGGAGGTATAGATTTTTTACTTAATAATGAGACAGAGTAAACCATGAAGAAGTGGGAACGTGTGTCATTTGCTAAGGCAGTCACAGGGACATGGAACTATGGTTGTGCTGGAATCCACTAAGCTCAGCAACTATTAAGGAAGGACTTACACATGTGGGCATCATTTTTTTCTCAGCAAAAGCAATATTTCTAAGTGAAGGTCAAATCAGCATGACAAACACAGCTAACTTTTGGTTTTCAATCATGCCAGGCAGGAGAAACTTGCTTGCTTGAAGCATAGTTAATCTCACTTGCAGAGGCCAGCATCTAATAGCAGGCAAACTTGGCAGGTAGAAATTATAAATGCATTTGAAATTTTCTCAGCTCGTTTTACCCACCAGGGGTTGCTGTGATTTTGGGATAATTTAAAGACAAGGTAGCAGGTCAGAAAATAAAACATTAAGGAAGTTAACAAAGAAAGAGCAGAATATTCCTTTTTCCCAAAAATGAAAGAAGACATACACATACATAGCAAATAGCTCAGTCTCTCTCTGTCTCTGTCTCTCTGTCTCTCTCTAGCTCTAAAGAACTGAAGGCATGATATTAGTAGAAAACCTTTCATTTTTCAGGATCTTACTTAAGTGGAAAGATAGCTATATCTGAAGCTTTGTGTTAGAAAAGAAAAAAAAAGTTCACGTATCAGGGATACAAAAGAACTTGTAGACCACATCTCTTACAGAATAGACCAAACAAATCACTGATTAAGTAGCATAGTTTTCATTTCAAGAGGAGGCACAGACACAGCAGTTTCACCTTCCGATTCTATTGCCAACACTAATCTCAAAGTACCTTCTGCAAAAATGTTCCTTATGTGAACACCTCTTTAATAAGCTCTCACCCAGTCAGAGGGTGAGGACATCAAAGGATTTTTTCGACTGGGATTCTGGAAAGATTACCTTTGAAGCACAGGTCTTTTGGTAATGATTCTAGAAATAGCTAAATAGTTGTGATGATATTATATAAATTCCTCTCATTTGATCTTCAACCCAGCCTGCCACGATGGAAGGAAGGTTGGCTGAGAGTGCTGCTCAACCTGAGATGCTGACACTGCTCAGGAGGAAGGACAGGGACCAGCAAACATGAGTTTAGCACAGTTCTTCCAGGTGGCAGGTCAGGTGAGATGGCCAGGAAACGAACACTGTGGCCTGTGGCATAACAGAGGGTCACCTCCGAGAGACGGTTCTATATTGGGACTTCCTATGCAACTGCTGACTGTATGCTCGCTTGCTGTAGAGTGTTCATCTTTACAAGAAGCTAATGATAGCAAGGAAGGAAGGAAGATTTAACTGTCAGAGCCTAGGCCGTGCAGTGCTGTGAAGAAGCGATAGAGCTCACGAAATAGTAAGGCTTCACAGAAGAGAGAGGACAGCTTCTCAGAGCAGGAACACAATAAACACAGTTTGTTTTCTTCAAAGGAGATAGAACAAGACAAAAGCAGGAAGTGCTGTCCTTCCTTCATCCTGCCAGATTTTCAACGGACAGCCAAGTGTGCACATCAATCGTGATAAAGGAGAAGAGGTCCGAGTGATACCACCTTCAATCTTCTGAAAGGAAAACACAGAGATGTATCACATAACACACGGACCTTCATTCTGCCCTTTCAAACAGTCCAGTGCATGCCACACGACAAAGAAATTCCCACTGAAACAGCTCCGCGTATGCCAAACATGACCTGTCTTTTAATGTCCTATATGGCCTTCTTCCTTAGCACTCAAGGCAGATATCTGGACTGGAGACAGAACATCATTCCTTATTTCTCCAAAGCAAGATGCTGGGTCCACTTGACTTAGGTGCTTATAGTCTCAAAGGTCCTTGCTTTGCTGTGGTGACAAGGAATAGCCTACATATTTATATAGTGACTGTCAGCTATTTTTGAGAAGCTAGACATTGGCTGGAAAGTTCTAAGAGAATGAATACTAGCCACATGTTCTTCAACTTTTGTACAAAGCTAGAAATAATGAAAACAAATAATTTATTTGTACTCATAATTTCATAGTTGTAAAATTAATTTATTGTGCTCCCTGGTAGGGTTTGGGCTATGATGACATTCTAGGACAGAATCAAATTTCAAAATTGCATTAAATGAGAGTAAAATAATATACATACAGGCTGCCTCACTTATAAATTTGGTTGGTTATAAAATTTTTGTTTATAATGCAGTATTTTGGATCCCAGAATACACTGCAAAATAATACAAAATAATCATTGTTCAAAAAAGTGGTTAGTCCCAGGCAAGCCTGCATAAATCTGTTAATCCCATGATATATCTGAAGTGTAGTATTGTATTTATACTACTACAGAAGAGGCAATGTACTAGAAGAAATCATTATAGCTAGTATATTTTGAGAACTTACATTTGCTAAGAGCTTTGCGTGTTTTATCCCTTTTAATCTTCACAACAATCCTTATGATACAGATGAAGAAACCAAACCTCAGAATGGTACTGTGACCTTCTGTAGATCACACAGCTGGTAGCAGTGAACACAGAGGTTGAGTTCTGGGTGCTGAACTCCAGAGACAATGTTAAGTGTTATTCCATTTGCTAAGTTTCAGGTATAAGTGTCTTTGATGGGGAATGCAGCCAGAGTTTCACACTGGGATTAGAGCTGCTCCCCTTCCCTGGGGAAGGGGCAAAGCTTCTAGGAGAATGAATTAACTGTGGAGTTGGGTATTCTAGAGGACATCTGGAGGTATATACTAGGACAAAGAAAAAAATGGATGAGATGATGGGAAAGAGAAGGAAGGACAGAAAGGCAATTCCATACCAAGGAACCTGGCGGAAAAGGAGCCTTTAGTACTTTCAGCCAGTACTAAAGACATGACTGCAGAAAAGAGGTGATTCAGCAAGTTTCTATACTCTAACAGAAATACAAGTATGTGCAAGGAATAGCGGGATCAGAGTAAGAGAGAGACCTCAGAGCTTGCCTGATCTTACCTAACCTTCTCAATGGAAAACTTTTTTCTAGAGCATCTTGGACAGATGGCGAGGCAAGTCTGCTTGAAAATTCTAACTAACCCATTTTCTTCTTAGACAGTTCTAACACAGTTCTTACATTATCCTCTTCCAACCATTTGTTTGGTTCAAGCTCAGTGAGGCCAGGGGATGAGTCTTTGTTGTTTTTGCATGTCCAGGACCTACAACTTTGTACACAGAAGATACTCAATAAATTGTTGAATTAATCATAAGTGGATTCATGAATATAAACTGTCTGAAGAAACAGATTAAGTCTACATTCCAACCCATACAATAGCCTTGCCTCTTAAATGTTCTCTTCTTCAGGCTAAATATGCTCAGTTCTCACAAGTAACCCTCACTGTTCTGATAGAACTCTGAAAACTGACTACAGAACCTACATGTGCCTCTATCATTTTCCATACAAATTCAAAGGAATAACAAACAAAGAGTAGTGAAAAGTCCTTTTGTCACATTTGTTTTCCTTTTTTATTAGCCATAAAAGTCCTTTTGGAATCCTATGGCTTTCTTAAAAGTACAGTATTTTAAGAAATAAATAATACGTATTTGTTGTTTTTAAAAGGAGAAAATGAAAATCTCTCATAACTCCAACATTCCAGTCATATCTTCTTCCAGTTTTTAAGAAGTTTTAAAATGCAATTTGGTTATACTGCATAAATAATTTCATACCCTACTTTTTAACTTAATGTTATATTAGGAACACTTTCTCACACTTAATAAATTCTTCACAGAGACCATTTTAAGTACTTATTATATTTCACCAGAGCCTTATCTAGTTATTTATTTAACCAATACCTTATAGTTGTATAGCACCCAATATATCACTACAATAGATAGGACACTTTAGGGGAAAAAAAATCAATGTACATGAATTTTTTCAACATCTTTGATTATCAGTTTAGGACAGATTACTAGAAGTCAAGTTACTAGATCAAAGTGTATACATTTTTAATGAGACTTTTGAAATTATCTTTAACAAGATTCCTATCCCAGCCCTCAGGAACAGGTTAAAATCCCTTGTTCTATGTTATGATCACACTCTGCAATCCCCCTTCATAATCTGAATCACCATTATGAATACTTGGTTCATTTTTATTTCCTTTTAGACAGTAAACTTCATTAAAGGGTCCATGAACTATTCAGCTGACTGTGTTTTGTGTAGGGCTTAGCACATAGCAATCCTCAATGCATATTTTATTGAATGAGCTGAATACTGTTGACTAGTTGCTTACTGCTAAGGGGCACTTAAATTTGTGCCCCAGAAGCACTGTTTGCACACACCCAAGTCAGTGCGTCAAGGCCCTGAAAGTGTGACAACCAAATGAGGTAAAATACTCCCAGTGTGATTCAACTTCAGTTGTAAATGAGGACTGTGATTTAGAACTCATTTCTCAGCTATTATGAATGTACTGAGTGTGTTAAGCTTGCATTGAAAATTCAGCTAGACTGGGATCCCAACATTACCAGCTCTCGGGGCAGAAAATGTGCTTCCTGGCGGGCAATGAGCAGGGATGCTGTCTCCCCCTGCCTGGTGCTCCTAAGCATGGCCACCAGCTCCTCCTGAGTGCGTCCGGTGACATCTCTCCCGTTTACCTGGTGAATGAAATCACAAGAACAGCCATAGTCACAACACTTGCTGTCTCCTTCTACTCTAGGGAGTTTGGGAAAGCAAGCGGTGACCGCGCTCCCAGGATCAACAAAATTTTGAAAAGGTGAAAGCTAAACAGGGGGGATCCCCACCATGTTTGCAATCACACAGTGACTATCATTTCGATGCTGGACAAACTCAGACAGTCAGTCATTAGCATCAGTTTTTCCTAAGACATCACATTCATATGGTAGAAAATGATCCTTCAAATAGACAGGAAGCGGATTTCAAATGCTTATCTGGCACCGTGTTCTGCCCAATACAACAAGCAGAGTGAAGATTTTAAATATGCTTCTGTTATTCTGGTTTCAAATACAGATTATAGTTCCTGACAGGCCATGATGGTATCAAAATGAAATTAGAGCCTGATACACATAGCAAACTCTTCTGGAAATATGAATCTTTTGATATCATTCTATAGTATTATTCATGTTTAGAAAAATTATTATTATATTATCACAGATTATCAGAGACTATTAAGAATTCTAATTTGGAGCTATATTAGTCATTTGGTATATCTTCTTACAAAATGAAAAGCAATAGTGTTGCTTTCAATGAAGATGATCTCTTCAAAGGCAAATTGACAATATTTAACTATCAAGAAGATGATGCCCTCAAACAAAAATTAATGGAAAGCTGGGCTCGGTGGCTCAGCCTGTAATTCTGCACCTTTGGGAGGCTGAGGTGAGTGGATTGACTGAGCCCGCGGGTTCGAGACCCGCC